GAGTTTTTTTTTCTCTTGTTTTTGGTAATCCTTGTCTCATCCTGTGCCTCATAATTGTTGAGTCGTTCCAGATATTCTCGCCAAAACAATTACATAATGGCCAGTAATTATTGGCCAGCATTAACAGATTGTTGTGAGGGTACCTGTCCAAGAGAGATGGGAAGGCTTTTAGATCAAATCTCAACTTATCCTTGTTCTTTTTTACTACATTAATTTGGAAAAAAAGGAAAACTTTGGTTAACTTCGGCTATACAAACAAAAATTCTAATTTTCCTGTGTCTGACGAATTAGCATTTTTAAAGAGATTTCTAGCTCTTTTGTCATTTTCTTTAAATGTTTTATTCTCTTAAAACTCACTTTCTGGAAGATAACGCCGTACTTTTTTTGCTTCTTTTTGTTCTGCTACTTAAGTATAGTATCATAGTGTGGTTGCATACCATTCTGCAGCCTTTACCTTGCACTCCTTTGTTTTCAAGAGTATTCCAGTAAAAAAGTCAACTTTTGCGTTAGTTCGAACTTGCAATTATAAGCATAAAAGCTTAGTAAAATTCATATTTTTTCTTTCATCTATCGAACTACCTTCTTCAAATGGCCCATGTGTTTCAAGCAATGCCGTCTGGTTTCTTCGTCTTAATCCAGCGATCTTCTAAGTGTTTGTCTGATTGATACAAAGGGTATAAGTACTTACATGGTATAAATCACTTTCACACGCAAATCAGATCCAGTTTGAGACGGCGATTGCGTGCAGTTCAATTGCGTGTAGTGTGTTTTTCAACCTTCACGAGGACGCTAAAGTAATCTGAGCGATTCCTTTATTGATGGTGCTATGACATTCATTTTCTAACAAAACTTCCCAAATTTCACACATTTCAAGTGCTATCATTTAAATTACATTCTGATTCCTCAGGGTGAAAGGTCAGTCTAAGGGAGTTTTTCTTTGTTTTCCCATTTATAAAAACATTTAGTTTGTCTTTTAAATGTAATGATTGGTATTTCAATCGCATATTCTCTATAGTAAGAAAATCTCTCAAGACCTTGGAAAAAATTTACTCATTCTTATCTTTTTATTCCTTTTACCGTTGTATAACAACTTCGTTTTTGCTTTGCGTAAAAGCTTGGCATATATCACTTCATCTCATTTGTCCGACTAATTAACATACTTTCATTCAAAGACTGCTTGTAGCTTATCCATTTCTTTTTCCTTATACTTACTTTATCCAGCTAAATTTAGTTTATTCTAACTTCTGACTACTTAGTCTTCTTCTGTGCAGAAATAGGCTCAAAACTATTTACAGTTTGCCGACAATGCTCAAATATCAAGTAAGGGCGAGTAATCGACCATCCGCCTATGGCAGCCCTTCCTCCTCAACTCAGGACACAACCTTGACCAGCAGAAGTAACTCTCTTGCCTCGCTGAATTCGGTGGACAGTGCGAATTCCGAAGGCGACTGGGTAAGAGGATCTTCGGATTAAAATCGGGCAAATCCACTTCAAGGCTAATTCTCACCTACTTTCGTCTTCTTTGGGATTAGCCCAAATAGGTCTTGGCAGGTAAATTTTCTTGAATTTTAGGGAACCTTAAGGGTGTACACAAGTAATGTGAAGGAATGCACCGCCTATAAAACGATTCGAGTTTCCACACAGTGTACAACAAGATCCGTGATCGAAACCATCCTCAGTAAATTCAAGATTTCTTGCAAGGACACAAATT